GAAAGATCTAAATAACCATGCATCTCTAGAGAGCTCTAATAGTCTAGTGGTAAGAAGTTATGCTGCAATCTCAAAGGCATTCAGTTCAAGTCCACCAGCTGCTCCATGGGAAAAGGATGAGCAGTCTCTTATGCAATTGACTACCTGAAAATCCACTGGAAGATCAGCTGTGACTTGGTTCTGGCTCGACAGCACACAACACCACAATGCATTTTGAAGCATATGATAGTGAATCTGCACAGGTATTGAGTACTGTTGCTGTCGTTGTCAGTTGCCTTGGTGTCAATTCTTTTATCATGGTGAGACCCTGAATTGGATAAGAAACATTAATATCACCATCAAGCCAAGTCCTTCATCATTGGGCAATTTTGCCATCCAAATCGAGCCTCATCTGCGTCACCTCTTCACATTATACTGTCCCCTCTAGAGGGCAGTAGACCTTGTGATGGGTGCAGAAAGTAGCGTATATTGTCTTACGTTTTATTTACTTGGAGGATGAAGCCCCACATGAAATGCACATAGCATAGTGTGTAACATGTCAGGGTGCTAACTGAAAGGTCAGCAGTTCTAATCCAAGAGGACCTCTGAGGGAGAAAGATGAGTAATTACCTTGGAACCCAAGGGAGGGGCGCCATGTGTTGACTTGACGGCACTAGGTATTGTCACTGTCACCTTTACGATAAAACATCATTTTGGCCCCAGATCTTTCTAATCTCACCAAAGGAAGCATTCTCTGACTCTTCTACATACAACTTAAACAATGCATATGCATATCTGGATCTGTTTTCTTTTATACCATAGGGGACCTCAGAATCTGTTTGACAGCCTGATGTTTCAAGCCCTGTAATTCAGGCACTCTGTTGATCTAAGAACATGAGTGAAGAGAAGCAAGAGGCCTCTTTCTACACACTCAACGTTTGTGGTGAAGCAGAGGAGAGGAGGAATGGGCCAGAAAGCTCTGGCACTTTGTTCCAGTATGAGCAACTATGGCAACAACCGGAATGTCTGTTTAGCTTGGACAAGCAGCTCCTAGTCCACTCAACGCAGCATGGCCTAGGTCACAGGGTGATTGGCGTTGTGGCCCAGCAGGCCACAGGCTTCTTAACTGAAGGGTCAAGAGCGGCAGCAGAGCCAGGTCCAAGGTAGGTCCCCTTTGAGCAAGATTGCGTAGGGAACAATTAACTGCCATGGGGATAGTGCATTCCAGCACCACGCCACTCATCCTATGCTCGACCTCCTTCTCTCCTGTCTCCATTCATAGCTTCCAACCAGGATATGACTACAGTAAGCACAGGCTGTCACGGTGCAGGTGGGGTGGCTCCATCCCTTGTCCCTTGATAGGGGATGGTAACCCAAGGGTGGGCAGCAGAGGGCGGTTAGTGTTGGGTAGGAATCTCCCTGTACCCTGTCGCTGTTACTGCCAGATGTCCTCTCTGCTCTGCTGCCCCTTTGTGAGCAGTGGGGTGTTAACTGTCACCTGCAGGTAAGCGTTGCTCTTGGGCCCCTTCCAGTGAAGCCCTGTCACTCCTCAGGTCTCTGGTAAGTGCTTTTTTAATGGCTATGTTTTAAATTTAAGATATTTTCCTTCCCCCAACTCTTGTCCCGAGTAAGAAAGCGCTAGAAAGAAGGCAGTGACAGAAATTGGGTCTCTGTGTTGGTTGTCTAGTGCTGCTATAACAGAAATACCACATATGGGTGGCTTGAAAAACAGAAATTTGCTTTCACAGTCCCAGAAACTGATGTCTGAATGTGGAGTGTGTCTCGGGGGGTGGGTGAGGGCAGGAGGCCCTTCTTTGTCTAGTTCAGTTTCCAGTGGACCCGATGCTCCTAGCTTCGATGGTAAGTAAGCTTCGTGGATATGCATTCCCCCTCCGGCCTCTGCTTTGTGTTTGTCTCTGTCTATGCCACTCATTACAACTCGGGTGTTAGTAGTTCTGAGTCACACTCTATACCAGTCTGTCCTCATTAGTAGAAAGATGTCTCTGGTGATTTGAGTCAACCTGTGGCTCCAAGGGAGAAGGATGGGCAGTTTCCTCCCATGCAATTTACCATCTCTGAAAACTGGCTGGAAGGTCAGCTATGAGTTAGTTCCAAATCCTCAGGAATTCACTTATTCCCTCAAAGAATGAAATCTGCAGGTATAAGGTTAAGATTCCAGCACATAGATTTGGGAGATAAAATTCAGAGTATAAGACTCTCCCATTCTCATTCTTTCTGCCATCGGTGGTGTCGCTAGGCTGCCCTCCTTCCCACTATCCTATACGTAGGGTCTTCCATTCACAGCTTGACTCTCTGCCCCATGGAGCCCTCAGCCAGTCTCTGCTCTGACTCCTGGCCCTCGGAATGGTCTGTTTCCAACACGCGGCTGCTCTTCAGTTTAGAGAACCCGAGCACGACCTGGGCTGGAGCAGAAGGGATGCTCTGTGGTCCAGAGAGTCCAGACAAGACAGCCTTGCTGCCTGGAGGTCCCAGAGGAGCTGCTGGCTGGGCAACTAGAAATTCAGGCAGGGACAGGGACAGGTTGTTCCGAGAGGTTGGGAAGCCAGGGCTGGCCTCTTCCATTATCAGCCCCCCGTTGCTGATGACGCGGTAGTCAGGCAGATGACCCCATGTAAGATCTGGAAGTCTGGCAGACTCCACCATGGAAGGAATGTCTACGCCACTGCCATCAGCCGCTCTGCTCAGCATGTGTACACATGTGGCTTTGGCTTCATCAAGGTGTGGGATAAGAATGCTCTGCACACATGCGAGGCAGCCCCTCTGGATCAGCTGAACTTTGAGGTGAGTTTCTCAGTAGGGGTTGGGAAATTCCAGCCATGCCCTCTGTGAGAAGACTCAGTTAGTGTTTCAAGGGGGTGAGCTGAGAACATGAGCCTTGCCCACAGAACCGCCGGAACTGTGTTCTCACCTGCAAGCTGCTCCCGGATGAGGAAAGCATGATAACTGGAGGCCTGGCTCAAACCCTGACTCTGTGGGACCTGGCACCCACCCTCCGAGTCAAGGCCCATCTGCCTTCTATGGGCCACAAGTGCTTCTCCCTGGCAGTCTCCTCTGATGCCCGGATCTGCCTGGCTTCTGTCAGTGGATTTCTTGAGATTTGGGATCTGCAAAGTCAAACCTTGGTCAGGTATGAACTTTCTCTCCAGTCCCTTGGATGCAACCAGGGGAGGAAGTCTTGATGGCGAGGCTTTGGGAAAGCACATGTCCATTTCTGGACATTGGTATCCACTCTGTGTAGTTTGTTGTTCTGTGCTGTCGAGTCACCAGACACACATAGCAACACTATGCACAATAGCTCTGATCTCTGCCCTATCCTGAGCCAATCTTTCTCCAATATACCTACTTCTATTGTCCCAGTTACTGTGTCAACCCATCTCCACCAGGGTCTTCTCTCTTACAGTGTTCCTCCATCCTTCCAAACATGATATCCTTTTCCAAGGACTGGTCCCTCCTGGCAACATGACCAAAGTAATGTCAGCCAGAGTCTAGAAAATGTATCAGAAGGGTTTCTTGTCCTAACACTTCCAAGGCTCAGAGAGAGGCAGAATCTCTAAGTCATTTTCTTGCCAGGAAGTCCACACTTTGTACGAGCGGGTACAGATATGTTGATATCACAGGCAATAAGTTCTGGACAGGAGGTGACGATGCCATACTGTGTTCCTGGGACATGAGGACCTACCAGAAACTGCAGGAACATAAATTAAAATACGAGGTACCTGGGCAAACTCAGCCCTCCGTACAAATGTCGAGAAAGGCTGGGATGAGGCCCATGCTCGACAAGGGTGGGCATGGAAGATGACACTGGCAACTCTAACCACTGACTCCACACCTTCTTCCAAACAGATCCTTGGTATTTCCCATGACCCCAGTGAGGAGTGGATGCTCCTGGGATTGAGAAACAGTGATATTATACTCCTGCACACTTACTGGGAGGAGAAGTTTAAGGTCAACCTGCATTTAAGAAACAGTCAATATCACAACCTCAAGTTTGCCTCCTGTGGTGAGTGGAAAGCCAGCTGGCACCCACAGGTGCTTACCCATCCTGACAGTGCTTGGGCCCTAATTTACTTCCTATTCTCAACTCCTCCCGCTTCAGCCCCGACTGTGGCCACATGAAGATGCAGGTGTTCACATGACTCACCCTGAGGGCTCCTCCTCCCTCACCATCTTCTCCTCCAGTCAGAGTACCTCTCCTGTCTTCTCTATTCACCCTCCTCCCACTACATCACTGGCTTTCTGTAACCGGTAGCTTCCTGCGCAGATAAGCATATCAAGACCCCATCTGATTGTCCTCTTGTTTAATGACACTTTTCATGGTCCTGTGCGAGGTGGGAAAGGGGACAGATAATGGCTTGGGTTATGCCTTTTTACAGTTGGGGAAGTGGCAAACCTTGTCCTCTCTCTAGGCTAGTCAGGGATTGTTCTTCGCTCTCTCCTTTCCTTCTTTATTTCAACAGGGAGTTTTTTGGGTTTTTATTTGATTTTATTTTTTTTTTAACAGGGAGTTATTTTGTGGCCACAATGGATGACTCCATCTACGGCCTATCAGCACCTTCTTTACAAAAATTATTTCAGGTACTGGAAGGAAAGAGAATGTGCAAAGCCCCGCTCATGACCCCCGTTCCTAGTTGTCTCCCAGAGATACTGTTGAAATACCTCTGAGATGACATCTGAGGGCATTTTACCGATGGGAGGAGTGAAGATTGCAGGGTTGTGAGATCACGAGATTCACGTTAAGCCCTAGGCCAAGATCTGGAGAGATGTCTCCTGTCTCAGACCAAGTCTTAGGTCTATGCTATGAAAGAGCCCTAAACTAAGGTTCATTTCTGGCTTATCCTGTCCCTTGCTCTTTGGTCCCTTTCTACCCTAGGAACAGGAGCTTTCAGAAATCCTGTGTTGTGATTTGTCCTTTGACAAGCAATATCTGATCACAGGATTGAAGGACGGTGCCTCTGTTTATCAGCTCTCGTATTAAAGATTTCATGGCACAGCCCTGCCCATGGAAGCCCTCGAAGGCCAGCCAACCCTCCTTTCCACATCTGCCTGTGTAGCCTACACACCTAGATTTTTATTATACAGCTTGGTGCTTTTCCTCCCCCTCCCCCATCACTGATTTCTAGGGCTGGCCTGGAAATATTGCAAGATCCAGCCTTTGCCATTAATAAAACTGCAGAGCAAAAAGTTCTAGGATGTGTGGTCAGTCCTTTCAAATAACAAACTTGTGATGGCTTGCTCAAGCTTCTATTCAGCAAATTCTAAAGTGGGGAAGGAATTTTTGACCATATAGTCTTGTTGGTCTTTTTGGGGGGGACCAGGGAGGGGAGAGGAAGTAAAATTATTGGAATCTTAAAGCTTAAGGGAAAAAACATGTACACAAAGACACTCTAAGATTGCATCAATGAGTTGACAGACCAACAACACTCAACATCAAACAAGCTCATGGGATTTTTGAGCTGTCTTTAGGATGAGCAATCTCGCCCCCTCCCACTCCCTCCTTCCTTGTCCCCCTCCACCAGCTGCTGTATTGAAAGTGTTGAGCCTCCCATTGGGGTGTGAGGTTCTGTTTAAAAATAGGTGTTTCCTCTTAAATCACAGAAGAGTAAGGTGGGTTGTAAGCCTACTACTTCTGAGTTCTAAAAGGAACAGAAGGTACAGATATGGGGAGAGCTATGGAGGACACATCTACAAGTGAAGAAATGGTAAAAGTCACTGGTAGAAACTAGACAAAGCCCATAGAAGGAATTGGCAAGGTCCAGATGGATCTGGTCTTTAAGCCTCTTGAATTGTGAGGAAAAACCTTTGTTCCTGAAAATCATCCACATGGGGTCTTGGGTATTAAAAGAGCTCCCTACTTCATGACATCCTGTTCTATCTGACTCTAGAAGTCCCATTCTGAACTATTTCCATGAGAAGAATAAAAATTGTGTTGGAGCTGGTATAAATTTTGGGGTCAATTTGTTATTACACCAGTTGTACCTCAACATAAAAACCCTCACAAAAGGACCAATCAGCAACCTCATGATAGATGGCGAAAAGATTGAAGTTGACAAATACTGCATTTTACTGAGATTCATAATCAATGCCTACAGAGGCAGCAGTCAAGAAACCAAAACATTAATATACTGCATTAGGCAAATCTATTATCAGCTACCTTTTAAAATCCCAAAGAGCAGGGATGTCCGCTTAAAGACTGAAGTACCCAAGTGATAGTATTTTCAATAGATTCATGTATGAAAGTTGGACAATGAATAAGGAAGGAGGGAAAAACCAGAAGCTTTTTGAATTGTGGTGGCAAAGAGTATTGAATATATGGCCAATGACTGCCGAAAGGGCAACTCTATGTTGGTAGAAGTGCATCCGGAGTGCTTCTTGGAGGCAAGGACGGGAAGGCTTGATCTGACATACTTTAGGCATGTGATTGGGGGAAGAACATCCTGCTTGGAAAGATGGAGGGTCGCAGGAGAGGTAGACCCTCAACAAGATGAACTAATAGTGACCACAACAGTGGGTTTGAGCACAGCGGGGATCATGAGGAAGGCTCAGGATTTGATCTGTTGTACACAGGGTCACTGTTAGAGTTGATTTGATGGCACCTTCCAACAAAACTTTTTCTCCCCCTTGAAACAATGTACTTCTTAGGACTGGACTGTAAGTAGTTTAGGCTTTATCATGTGGTTTTATGTGACGGCGACTCAGCTCTGTTGTTGTGACGTAATAGCAGCATGCACAATACAGGACCAACTGAGCATGGCTACGCTCAAATAAAACTTTATGAAACAGGCACTGGGGTTGTGGTTGCTGTGTATGGTCGAGATGGCACCGATGCATAGCTGACTCTCCAGCGGGTTTTCAGAGACAGTATATTGCACAGGGGGAGATTGTCCTCCTTCCACGGAGCGGCTGGTGGATTTGAACTGCTTCTCTTGGGGATTGCAACACAGCCTCTTGCCACTAGGTGACCAGAGAGACAGACTACAGCAAATAGCCCTGTCCTGAGGCTAGAAGTCAGGACCTTCAGGTTACAAGACTGATGTCCTGCCCACTGCAAAAGTCCTTTATCTTTACAAGCTTTAGAGAAGAAGCCTCACTCCTCCGCCCCGGGTGTGCTCTCCCCTGCAGCGCCCAGGCAGTCCATCGCCAGGGTCCGGGGAGTCGCACGGGGAGGCGCCCACTCTCCAGGTGGTGGCACAGGGGTAGGCGCCTCTTCTCGGTGATGAGGCCGCGCGGAGGGAGACAAGGTGGCGTTGGCGCCTCTTCTCGGTGACGAGCCTGCGCGGAGGGATCCTGGCACTGTGAGATCCACTGCGCCTGCGCAGGACGCACCAGCGCACACGGCGGGCGGAGCGCACTTGGAGGGGGGGCGATGTGGGGGCTGTGCTGCCGCCTCGGCTGAGAGGGCGCTGCTGAGCTGGGGTTCTGAGGGGTGCACAGGAGTTCGCGAGGTCTACTGAGCGGAGGAGCCATTTCTATACCGGGGTCTCCTAAAGTGAAGGAGGCTCCAGGCGTGTGGTCCAGTTGGTGTTTCGGGAAACTTCTGAGAACAGAGGCGAGCTTAGGCGAGAGGAGCCACAATGAGCACAGAGTGGCCATGTGTCCTGCGATGGCGAGTGACGGGTGTCCTGGTGGACGAAGGCTGGAGGGGCCGACCAGCTGTGGTGGGTGCCTGGGCAGGACCCCTGAGTGGGAGGTGGGCGCAGCCATGCGGAGGCAGGACGAAGGTGCTGAGAGACATCCATGGCGTTCAGTCTCCAGGACCTGGCTCTGGAGTGAAGGAAGGTGTCAGGAGGAAGGGAAGAGTCCAGATGGCCACCACAAGTGAATCCAGTAGGAAAGCGCAGACCAGGATTTTTAGGTGATTTTCCAGGTGGTGAGGGACCTCTGGTGGGGTGATCAGGTGGGGTGGTCTATAGCGACTTGTGTTGCTTAGCCCAAGGTTGGGCCTTTCTGGTGATTCAAATCCATCAGCATCTCCAGCGAGAGAGGTGGACAGTCTCTTCTCATGAGGTTTACAGCCTCCAAAAACTCCCTGCAGGGTCAGCAATGAGTTGGTTCTGACTTGAAAACAGCGAAGTTTTTTTAGTTTTGCTATGTTGTTCTTGTTAGCTGCAGTTGAGAGCCACTCGTAGCCAACCTTGACTTCCCTGTACCATCCTCACAATCTCGGACATCTCAAGCTAATTGCTGCCCTCAGTCCACCTGGTTGAGGACCCACCTGCCATATGGCGTCTTTTTCCAAGCATGATGTCTCTCTCCAAGGAATAGCCTCTCTTATCAACATGCCCCAAGTATGTGAGATGAAGCTTAATCATCTTTGCCTGCGAGGACCACTCTGGTAGCACCTTCTCCAAGATCTGTTTTTTCATACTTCTGCAGTACCTTAGTTCAAAGGCATCAGTTCTTCTGTCATCCTTATTCATTGTCAAGCTCTCAGATGATTAGCAAGTGACTGAAAAGACTATGACCTGAACCAGGTGCACCTTAGTACTCAGACTGACATCATTGCTCCCCAGTAACTTGGAGAGATCCCTGACTGTATGCTTTCCCAGTGCAATGTGTCTCCTGATATCCTGACTGCTGGTACTGAGTATATTGATTGTAGAGCCAACTAAAATGAAGTAGTTGACAGTTTCAATCTTTTCTCCATCTAGCATGATGTTGCCTATTGGTCCAGGTGCGAGGATTTTTTGTTTTCTTGACTTTGAGATACAGTCCATATTGAAGACTGCAGTATTTGTAGTGTGATGGGCTGCTGACCCAAAGGTCAACAGTTCCACTCCACCAAGAGAAAGATAAGGCAGTACACTTCAGGGAAAATTTAATTTAGAGCTTACTTGTGGCATTGTTTTATTTGCTTTTGAATGGCAAGCTTATTAATTTCCTGAATCTTGGCTTCTTGTCGAGTCATCTCATTTTTAAGGGCAGAAGAGTAGGACTGTAAAATTCAATGCTAAAAGAATATGAGATTAAAAAAAAATACTAAAGAGAGGGGTGGGTAGTGGCATAGGTGACAGAACAGATAATAGTTTCTAAAAAGGCATTTCCCTCTTTCTTATTCAGGAATATTTCTGTTGCTGCTGTCCAAGAGAACCGCCTACCAAGAAGTTTTCATCCCATTC